CATACATTAATTATGCATAAAGTGTTGCAAAAAAACCTTTATATTTAGTCTTTATGGAATGGAATGCATAATTTATGTATGGGGTTAAATGGAAATCTTTCCAAGAAAAGAATTAGAATAATCCTGTCAATCTTCGGTCATTTATGGGTGTAAAGGGTTAAAGCTGTTCCAGCCCCCTCTAAGAGGAAACAATTGTTCCAATTTTCTTAATTTCCTTTACTTTGTAGAAGCATACCTTTGCTGATGGTTCTTGGCTTCACAGGACCATTTGTCCCTCAGCTTCTTTTCCTTCTTGGTGTTTACTTAACATCAGCTAACATGGCTGCCATGTTTCAGCCAGCAGTGCCTGTCTGGAGTGCTTTCCTGGCAATAATGACTGGAGTGGAGCCACCTCCAAAGCTAACAACAAGCTATGGTCGGGCTAAAATTTTAGGAATTTAATTTGCAGTTTGTGGCGCTATGACAATGACGCTTGGAAAACTACAAAGTACTTCCAGTGAAAAATCCTGGCTATTACAAGATTCTTCAGTTGGGACTCAATTTCTTGGTTGCATTTGTCTCTTTGTTAAAACCTCCAGCACAGCCTTGTATTACATTATTCAGAAGAAGTATATATTTAATCAATCCTTCTCAACTTGGAAGGAACAACCCTTGGCTGTAACAGCATGGAGTTACTTTTTTGCAACAGTTTATCTAGCATTTGCTTCATTAATTTATTCAAATCAGCCTGAAAAGTTCACAAGTTTTACAAAGGAAACATTCTATTGCTTACTGTATGCATTTGTGGTCTCCTCAACAATGTGTTATTTGCTGCTTTCGTGGTGTAACATGCAGGCACCATCCACCCTTGTCACCTGCTCCTGGCCACTTCAATCATTATTTTGTGCGCTTTTGTCCACTGTATGTTTAGGACAAACACTGCAGCTGCTGGAGTGTGCAGGTGGAGGGTTGATTATCAGTGGACTGGCTGCAGTTTTGTGGTCAACTTATTGAGAGAGTGAAGAATTACATTTGTATTTGAAAAGTGAGAAGTCACTCTGTTAAGGGAAGTGAGACTACAGGTAGCCCAAGCCACCTAAGTGAGCCTTTGTAAATATGCATTGATGTTGTGCAATGACCCAAATACAAGGATTTGTTTGGGAATAAATGGTTGAGCTCTCTACCTGAAAGATCTGGACTAAAAGGATTGTATTGAGGACAAAGCTGCTGAACTAAAACCATGCTAAACAACTCTACGCCAGCCCAAGAAACTCAAGCAATGCAAAGGAACAACCTTATATTTCAGCCTTTGTGCAATGCCAACATGATTGCATATCTACTGAGGCTTCTATTGCGAGCTTGAGCTACCTGCGATAAGACTCCCTTTTCAAATGATGAAATGAAAAACAGGCAAGAACCATCAGTGAAACCTTTCACTCTCAGGAATGAACAAAAAGAAATTTCTCCTTACAATATTTAACAACTATTCACCGAAGTGGAGGTGGTTAGTGGTGGATATTTACCAAGCCGCAAATCTCACTGTTTTAGTATATACTAAAACAGTGAGATAATATACTGCTTCGTTGTTAATTTGAGCAATTTCTTTGCTTGTCACGGATGCAAACCGGGACACCATTTTTCCCGAGTTGCTCAGAGGTAAATAGCAAAGGATATTCGGAGTTTGACTAGCCAATCAGAGTGCGCCTTCAACGCTATCCACTGTTTTAGTATATACTAATAACCCTTAACCCCCCAACATCAGCATGTATATTCTCAATACTTTTTTCTATTTATTTCCTACAGTGCTGATAAGGAGAATTTTTTGAATGATCAAGAGCTTTTGTAGTTACTGATCATTTCCTTTATTCTCCTGACCTTAATGTGTGATTCAGGGGGTGATACTGTAAGGAGAAATTAGAAGCCAGTCACTCACAGAGGTCAGAGGGTTAAAAGATATTCAAAAATAGGGATAGTGTTTGATTTGACACCAAATTCTCCAAACCAAAATTATAAACAATATAGAACAGTGCAGACAATTGATGTTTTGATCTTGGGAGTGAAAGTATTAATGCAATCAGACTGTTCACATAACATAGCTTCACCTCCTAATTTCCTCCTTGGTATGCTAATCTCAAAACTGGCTGTAATTATTGAAACTTACATGTATGTGCACTGACTCAAAACTGTAAAAAGCACTTTTCATACTTGAGTGTTTCTTATGAATTAAGGTACTCTGCACAGCCAAGATATATGATATCCCTCTTGATAATTGTAAATCAAAATGTTATACAGGCATTGAATACAAAAATATTGCAAAATTGAATAATTACAGCAGTTCCTCACTCATAAGGCACATGGATTTTTTCAAGAAGATTCTGTCTTTGGGTGGAAAGTTATTGCTGAAATTGGGGTGTGTCTTATAGCCAAGTATTTTTGCACAACTAAATCTTAAGATCACAATTTTAGCAGAACTTACAGTTAAAAATACAAGAAAACGACACTAATTGTTGGTAGTTAAATTTTTAATGAGTTGCACTAAACCCTAAGAGTAACTAGCATCTAATTACAAACTTACCTCTGAATCACACATTTAGGTCACAAGTATTAAGCCGATTGTGACTGGTGTTGTTTAGGTGAAACGGGCCGTTGCTTTGAAACCCGCAAGAAAGAACACAGGAATGTAAAGACATCTGCTAATGGGTCAAACATAGCAAAACATGCGTGGTCATTCGGTCATCGCATTGATTTCAATCATTCTCGAGTTATTGACAAAGGCTCTTTGTATTAGAAAAACTCTGGAGGCTTGGCACACCTCTGCTATCAAGAATGCGGACAATAACTCTAAGCCGATCCCTAATCAGTATAACATTCTTTTTGAACAATAGCCACCCTTTCCATATTTTTACTTTGTTCTTCTTATCACCTTTATATCGCTTTTTGTATACATTTCACTCATTTACATTTCATGTTTATCCGTGGAAGGCTGTAGATCGACAGCTGAAAGATTATGTTTTCTAAAACTTTTGGCCAAAGAACATTTTCACTGCATTTTAAGAGTAAAGCAATTGGTCACCAACTAAAGAAGCTTTTATTGTTAAACAAATTCTCGTCAGCACCTTAGGAAATGTGGAAAAGAGTAGTATTGAGAATATGCATGCTGCTGTTAGGGTATAAAGGGTTACATGGCATTGAGAAATACTTGTACCTTTTTTCATTTGTGTTGTTGTCAGTACTACTTATGATGCACTTGTTATCCTTAAACACGAGTATCGCAATCTTCTTATAGTTTTGGCTATGCGCGAGCCGTCAATATTTTGTGGTATTGCCGTCTCACTTTTGCGGCCTGTGATTGGTTCTAGCAGTAAATTGGGTTGCTGACGTACACAAACAAAATACCGCCGCATTCAAATGATTGTACAAATATTTCACTTCAAGTTCAACAGTATTTATTGAAAATTCGACTTTTACAGTCATAAACATTGTAATAATGTGACAAAGTCACTTGCCAGTTGGAAAATGAATGTTAATCTGGCAAGAATTCAAAGTGTTATTATTAAACAAAACTTTCGAAGAACTGTCGCTGCTTTCGCATCCACGTCTAGTACATCGATGTCCTTAAATAACTCTTGAAAACCAGTCCCACAAATATCAAAATTAGGTATTTCATCACCAAATGGCTCTCCGGACTCCATCCCTGTGTAATTTTGAACACTTTTCGGTTTCAGTCAACTCATTTTATGGTAATAAAGACTATAAACTTGCAGGGAATTTCAAATTACCCGCGACAAAGTTATTTGTGTGTGAAATTAGTATTACCATGGATACGTTTCGCAGGTAGAAAGAATTGATATTTCGATCAGGCGCGGGTTGATTATTTTACAGTTTTCTTTATCGTTATAAATGATGGATCGCGATACAAAACTAATTGGGATTTTAAGATGGCAATGCCACATTTTATTACACGACTCGGGCAGTGAGAGGGCCAATAACTAAAATCAACCAATCAAAAAGCTCTAGTGCCGGTCAATATTCTCTCAGTATTGGACCGGGAATTGTCCCGAATGGTACCGAATGGTCCCGAATGATTCCGCACTTGTGTCCCTTTGAACTTCAGTCGTAAAATAAATCTCTTATTAGCCAAGCTTGCTCGGGACCGTACTGGAAGAATATCGGCCCTCGGTCCGTACTGTCAAGACCTCGGGCCGATATTCTCCCAGTACGGCCCTGCTCTTGGTTAATCAGATATATATATTGACCGCTAGTTGGGAGAAAATATATTCCGTATTGGGAATATTCCGTATTGCGGAGTCGCTTTGCGACTCCGCCCAATACGGAATATATTTACTCACAACTAGCCGTCAGTATAATGTGGTATTGCCGTCTCAAAATCGCAACTAGTTTATAGTATTGGCAATTACGCCTAATACAGTCATTAAAATGAAACAAAATAGTGAGCAGACAATGGACAAAACCTGTCACAATACAAAGTTTACAATTATACAAGAAATTAATCCTTTGACTGAAGTTGGTTTCACCCTTAAATTGCATTGTTACCTAAAACAAACAAAAGTTTCTTATTGGTTGCTTCCTTCCCCTGTGCTGTGTCCTTAAATTTGACACTTGAAGTTTTAAAGGAATCTCACAGATCAGACAAAATCACACCAAACTCCAAAAATGAAAACCATGTCTTTCAAGCTGTTTATGCTTTTTAAAAACCCTAAGTCACTGACCTGGATCTGATTTCTCCTCACAGTGTAGCTCTGCTGAACCTTTCATTTAGATCCTGAGCACAAAGGAAATGATTGCCAACTTACAAAGCTTTGATCGTTACACGAGTTCTCCTTATCTTAAGTAAAGGAAATGTGAAGAGAAGGTTATGGAGAATATGTACACTGATGTTAGGGATTTGTCATCTTAATAAAATAAGCGGACAATTTCCTCCCTACTATTATCCTCAATGAGTACAGTTTTTATCACATGGTTTAAACTTTACACTGCCGTTCACTTGATCTGTGCCAATATATGTTGAGAGTCACACACAAAGTCCTAATGTTTTATTTCATTTAGAAGTTACCTACCTACATGAACTTACTGCTTTTCGTACGGCAGTACTTAGCCTCATTCTGACTTTGATTTTCAAGTCTTCATCGCACATAACCTTTAAACTTGCGAGGCCACAGGAGTTCTCGCTTGTTTGGGGGACTTTCGGTGTAGTGATGCACATGTCAGTTTTCTTGTCAGTTTGAGGGCGTTTGAACCACTGATTTCAGTAGCGATATTCCCAGGAGCACAAGACTTGTTTCACGAAGCAAACTCGCCAATTAAATGTAGAATGTTCAATTTGACTCTGTTCGCATTTGATACCTAATGAAAACACTGCACTAAAGGGGTTAACACCTTTGTTTCTAATAAATCTTCAATTACTAATCGGTTATACTTCATTATTTTCGGTCAGCGGTAAGTCATGATGCATCATCCCCCTTCAAGGTCTGCTTTTCAATAAGTCACTTTTGAGTTGGAAGTCAAGATGTCAGCGAAATGCTTGATCATAGGCGGTTCTTTCAGCTTTATCGTCTTTACTATTGGCCTATTTTATAGGTTTCCACATGGTGGCCCTTTGTATTTCAGCCGTCCATCACCAATCGAAATAACTTTGTCGTTCTCAAGCGTCCCGGAAGTGAGTTGCTATCTCTCACCGCCATGGTATGAAAATAAAGATGATCATCGCCCTTCGCTGCAATCGTTTTTGCAAGCATCGGCATCTAATGAGCACCAAGATCTTCGTTTGAATGGCCTAGCAGTGCTTTCCACACTGGCCAATGCCTGTCAACCTCTAGTTGATGTGAACAAGGCGAAGATGCAAATCACCAAAATCGCTCTCGTCAGTGTTGAGAACATGACGGTGTGTTCGTGGATAAATCTAGTACTCAATGCACAGAACGCAGGGTACTCTGTGGTGATATATTTTGGAGAAGAAAATTATGGACCACTTGGAAATGTAACAAAACTACATACTCAAGAGGAGATATTGATTCCCTTTGGGACGGCTGAGTCTTGTTCCAATAACACTAATTCACACAGCAGTGATATGATTACGAACTATGATGTTTTATTTAAAGCTGTGGACAAAACCAGTGTGAATATAATAATAACAGGAGACAAGTCCGAAAACCTCCGTGACATGGCAGAGTACCTAAAGAAACTTTATTATTGGTTTCTTTTCGGTCCATTTATCACACTGGAATGGCTCAGGCGGAAGAAGAAACTCTGTTGCGTGACTGGCATATCTCAACAAGTCGCTGAGGAGTCTGCAGCTGACGACGAGGAAAGAGGGCAGTTAGTTACAAGAGTTGGGGAGAGTCGGGAACAGAACGTACAAGACATCACTGATGAGGGAAATGAAGATGAGTCACAACCTTTGATCATTATAACAGACACTAACACTGATTTGACAAGAAATGACAACGTTGATAGATGTAGAATTATAGAGTTCCTGGCGATGATGTTCAAAAGAG